GTTGTTCGCGGTTATTCAAGCAAATTTGATGCCGAAGATAATTATGCTGGTGAATAGTGCTTGGATTTAGTTCACAGCCATTGAATATGCCCTTAGGACTCTGTGGAAGATGTAAAGAGTTTTTGTTTAGAGTGTTCTGTTCGGAGAATTTTTTGGAGTATATTGAAGAGTTAATTTTATTTCTTGTAGTAAAATTCATGTCAAGGTGGAGTTTGTTAGAATTGAATTATGACCAGAATTCTTATGGAGTATTTGAGTGAAAATATTGTTGGACTATTAGGAGTTGATTGGTAGACTTAAAGATGTCTTGAAGGGGTTCAAAACGAATAAAGAGAAGGGTTTGAAATTTTGGCATTTTTCTCTCTATTTCAACTCAAATACTCCACTATTGATTTTACCTATTGTAATAGGACTCCACCTTATGTTAGACCCTTGTTTGTATTAATTTTCCTAATACGTTATGAATTCTTGTATTATAAATATGTGGAGTATTACAGATATTTATTTGATCAACGCAAAGAGTGATCCAAAAAATGTTGCAAACAATTTTTGGCAACAATCACTAATCTTCGCAGGAAGTTATACACAAATTTTTAGACAACAACGCAGTGAATATTGCAAATAAGTTTTTTTTGGTAACACTAGCAAATGATATTTTGCAACGGTTTTTGAACGTTGTTGTATCCTTCAACTCTACGACAACATTGAAACCCGTAACATACCATGAACATTTCAAAAGGTCTTTTTCAACTTTCTTTGTTTGTTGCAAAAAATAATTTTTGTTGTAGTATATTCCTATGTTAAAATTTTAATTATTGCCTATTACTTTCTTTTGCTATTTATCACCTAATTTATGAACATTTACAAGTGTTTCTTAATTTTCAAAATGTAAATATAAACTATTAAACATATTGACTTATCAATTTGTCAAAAGGGGGGGGAGGGGTTGAAATCATTATGATTTGGGTCTAAGCCCAAAGAACCAACCCATCCTGAATTTAGTTGATTTTGTTATCGAATGGGGTTGGTCGAAAATTTGACCAACCGACCAAGAAGGGTTGTTTTCAATTGGGTCCAAAATCAATTCTACCGAACCCCAATGAAGCTACAAATAACAATCTTCGTAGTGTAAAATCACATTTCAGCTCCAATTGAGGTGATGTCGTTCCATTTAAAGCATCCTATCGATTATTAGAGGTGATTTTGGAGGGTTGTCCTGCTTCCTTACCCATCTAGTTCATCATTCCTTACATGAAAGTCAGCTGTAGTTTATCAAAACATCATGATCTGCTCTCATTTTTTACCTATGGAACCACCATATTTCCCTCACCACAAGACAACCAATTTGGCCGTACACTCCTAAACACCACTGATTGGATATCCCTCATCACACATTTCTCACATCATCAGCACAGTTTCATGACCCACCACCTCCTTGCTACCTCGCCTCACACGAATGTAAAATACATTCTAGTCTTTTTGGTATAGTTATAAATTATATTTATTTTTAGTTGAAGCCCAAGACTAAGTCCATTATCGTCAGCCGTTATTTCAAAATTCATTTTCCTACATATTCATTTTCTGCTACAAATTTACACAATAAAGTATTTTATACGTAAAATCAAAATATTTTTCCTATCTTTTCACCACATATTCCCTTAAAAATCACCATTCAAAACATTTTTTAGGAATAATGATCGTCAAATGGGGGATAACTTAATTTTAGTTTAAACTTGCAAAAGAAAAAATCCATAATAATGTTCAATTCTTAATTCAAATTTTCAAATACTTTTTGTCAAAAAGATTCCCCAAGTGTTTCTGCGAAGTCTCTCTGCTATTTTAAATTAATTAAAATATTAGAAAACTGTATTGAAAGTTCAAAGTCTCTCTGCTATTTTAAATTAATTAAAAAACTAGTAAACTTTATTGAAAGTTCCAAAACTTTTTCTATAAAGAATTTTAATTTAAAAATAGAAAAAACTAGCATCGACAATTGATTCATTTAATCTTCAATAAAGTC